AAAATATGTTAAGATTGAAACCAGAATCCAATAGGTGTACATATGAGTTTGGTTATGTGTTGCCTAATTAAGTATTCTTTCGTGACATTTTTAACTTTCTATTGATGTTTGTACGTCAATGCTCAAAAATAAAAAACTAGTTTTTAAGAAATATTAAAATGGTTCTAATAGGAGTAGAAAGTTATCAAAATAATTGTCATATTGGCGTTAGGCACGCCTGCGCTTCATTCACTAATGAGAGCATGAGCGACTGTGCTGTTCACTTAAAAAAAGGCTTTCTTATGAATAACTACTTTCACGACACTCCTGCCTTATGTTTTTAGGCACGATGCTCGTCTCTGATGCGAATAGCTTCATTTGTTTCCCGTTATTGTAATAATGATAAAGATGACTAGTTTCATCCTATGAACAACTTTTTAGTTATATGTTCATAGAAATTACAAATGTGATATTTCCCATGTACAGAACGCCATTTCGACTTTCAAAGTTATCACTTTGTAATTAAGATTCATTGTCAAAATTCCAATAATCATTTGTGCAAAAATAAGTTTAGCCCTTGTTTTGTAATTACATCAGTCCAAATTTCAAATATTGATTGTATTCGATATTGTGACTCATTGTAAACTGATTTCTATCAGCGATGGTTAACATGTTTCAATAAAGTCTGTCAATACTTCAGTTTCACGCTTTCAGATGACAGTTAATTGAAAAAAAAAGAAAAGAACGACACGAAAATGCATCATGCTTTAGTGCTAAATGGTATTGTAACGGTTCTCTTGCATTTGATTGTTTTAGAACTAATATCTATACAAACAAGACATAATACGGTTCTATATGAGCAAACTTCAAACTCATTTCATTGAGAAAATATTGACTTGTGTCCAAACTCTATTTTTTTTCCTAAAACAGAATACAAAATCTGAAGCTTTTAGAATCTTGGCGATGCAAAAGACATTGAAATGTTAAGATCATTGAATAATTCATGTTTTCTGTCAAGATCTACCTTTGTTGTATTATTTTTCAACTGTTACATATATCTGCAAAGCGACTAATTCCATTTTTTTGAACTTCTAACGGTACCTTTTATAATAATTTCTTCGTTATTTACAATGACTTTGTTGAAAATGATCTTGCTATAAATTTAATATTCTTTTTAATAGACTTAAATATTTATGAAAAAACAAGTTGCATTCGTTTTTCTGTTATTCGAATTTCTTATAAAACCGTTTTGTTAAGAAGAAATAATGAAATCAAATTAGTGATTTAATCATCATTGAATTGATTATTGTTTTTACAATCTCAATAGTTTATTCAATAGAAAAAAAAAAGAAATATGGCTGATAAATCAACATATGATAAACCAGACAAAGGAGAACGATGCACACTCGAGACGAAATAAAACGTGGAATGATTCTTTCATTTCCAAGGTGGTCTGTATACACACAAAAAAAACAAAAAACAAAACAAAAATTAAATAAATAAACGACAGTAATAGAGAAATGTCTTATATTTTTAGTTTCTATTGCACACACACACACACAAGCTGATAGAAAATCTATTAAAAAGAATACTTTTTGTTTCTAGAGCTCTTATTGATCTATTTAAGATCAACATCACCACCAATTTTTTTAGCAATATCTTCGGTTAATGAACGAAATACACGATCAGCACGTAATGTTGATAATGGTGTATCCTCAATCTGTTTTAAAAATACTTCTTTATTTTGTTCTTGAACAGCAGCAATTAATTGGCGAAGTAATTTAACTTCAAGTGATCGTTCTTCAAATAATGGATTATCATTTAAATAACGACTAAGTGCCGTATTTGCATTTTCAACATCAATACATAATGCACACATTGTCGCTCTATAGAGATAATCAAATATAAAAAAAAAGAAAATTTCAAGAAAAATCAAGGCAATCTCTTTTCTTTCATTTATTTTCTCTTCCAGGTCAATATTATCAGCGTCCTGATTTGTAGGTTTCCAGCGGGAACTCTCACAAGAAAGACGCAGTTTTCGGTTAGAAAATGATATGAACTTGGAAGCAGCACTCGATGATCGTATCTGATTGCCGACTCAATTGTGTTACGGTCATATTTCTTTCATTTGGAGTCTTTCGATCATTTCTCTGACATATGTTAGCAAAGCGATTGAAAAATAGCAAAAAAAGTTAAATGAAAGAAAAGAAAAATCGATCTTAGCAATACATGAGCTGGCATGTGATCACTTTTTATGTATATTCTTGATCAACTAGCGAATCATAAATAAGGCTCATGCATTACCTTAACCAAAAATCTTTTGCACCATATTTGAGCATTGGATCATCTTTTGTTTTATCGGCCATTTCTTCATATTGTTGTTGTGCTTGCATAAACTCATGTTGAAGTGCAAGAGTTTCAGCCATTTTTTTTTGTACTCGATTTGCACCTGCTTTTTGTCCTTCTTGTCTTAAAAATCGATGTGCTTCTTTTAAACATTTCATCATATTTTCGAGATCGTTCATTTGTTCATATAATTCTGCAACTTTTTCTAATGTTTGAGATGCCATTGTCCATTTACCTTGTGACATATGTAATTCAGCAGCACGTGTTAATGCTGGGACAGCTTGTGGTAAATCAAACATTTTATATGATGATGCAATTGCTTCATACATTTGAGCTTTTTCAAAATCTTCAGTACTTAAGTCTAATGCTCGTTTATAAGCTTCAACAGATGTTGGATAATCACCTTCAGCTTTACCGGCATTACCAGCTTGAACATAAAGTGCACGAGCATCTTCAGTTGCAGTGCTACCAGCACCAAGCATACGTTGAAAAAATCCATTTGCTGTTTTAGCTTTTTTATTTGCTTCGGCCATTAATTGAGATGCCGATTTATTACTTGGTCCACCGGCCATTTTTATAATTAATGAAAAAGAAAATAATAGAAAATCTGAAATACAAAAAAAAGAATATATGAGACTTTTTTTTGGTCACAAAAGTGAAAACAAAATAGAAGATATTCTAATAGAATAAAGATTTAAGAAAACAAAATCAATCTAATACGATGACAGTTGCAATCGTGGGTTTTGTTTGAATCGACCAATGTACAACCAAACTAAAAATTGAATAGATTCATAATAAATGAAGTTTTTTTTTTCTTCAAATGCGACATACCATTGTTTGGCGCTTTTTTTAATCAGTGGTCATAATTTACATCTATGAAAAGACATGAAAATAAATTTATGTTGTTTTTTCGATTAATTTCTTACCTTCCATCGATAACCACAGCTTTTACAAAAAACAAATAATGTCATTGGTTCATCAGCACTACGTGTTTGAGCTTCCGTATAGGCACAATTATTTTGTTTACATCTAAAAGTATTCTTTTATTTTCAATGTAAAAACAAAAAAAGAAGACGTAAATCATACTTTTTACATTGAATCAGATCAGTACCAGTGCCTTCATCCATAGCAAGTTGATGTTCATTAATAGCACTTTCATTTAATTTTGAACGTTCTTGTTTTAATGCATCACTTGCCATTTCCTTTCAAAATATAAAAGAAAATAATTATTAACAAACATAAAAAAAAAAACAAATAATTTAACAAACTTCAGCAGTAAGTACAGCTAATCGTTCTGGTGTAATAAAACCAAGAAGAACGTTTGTGCGAAGATTAGGATTTTTTAAATCTTTTAAATTTGATATTCGACTACGAATACGATTACGATATTTAACACCTGTATCTTTTAATTCTTTAAAAATAGCTAAACAGAAAAAAAAAACACAAAAATTTATAATGTAAAATAAATTCATTTGTTTGCTTGTTTTTTTTTTACCATCTTCGACACGAGCAGCTAATTCGACTGGATCAGCTGATCCTTCCGGAAGTTCAGAAACTGAAAAAGCATTTGCTATAAGATCTCGTGACTTTAATCTAAAATAAACAAAAAAAATAACTTTCCTACAAAATAAATTTCTATCTATTAACCTAATTTCATCATGTGTTTGTGATGGTGTATAACAACTTGATGTTGATTGGGAAGGTAGACGTTCAAGAGATTTACTTGATTCAAGATTTTTTCCTGGATTAATATTGGTCTCTTGAGATTGTTGACTATTATAATTAGTATTATTATTATTATTTGTTGGTGTTGATTGTTTATCATCTTTATTTCCTGGTACCGATGTAGATGATTCTTTTGAAAAATTATTAAAAAGAATTTTTAATTAAACAAAACAAACAATACAAACCAGGTACAAGTTTTTTCCAATTTTTTAAAAGACTTTTAGCAACAGTTGATAAATCTTCATTAGCAATAACTCGTCGTAGATTATTAACAGTTTTTCCAATGCCAGTTTTTTGAAGAATACTAAGTGTAATACGTGATTCTTGTAAACGGATAAGTAAATCTCGTGCAATTGTTTCATCCTAAATACAAGAAATTAAATGAAATAAAAATATAAATTTTCAAACATACAACTTCTGATTTATCAATCATTTTTTGTAATTTTCGATTAATTTTTCCTATTTCTTCTTCGGACATTGTTTTAACTGATGATCTAAAAATACAAAATAAAAACAGAAGAAGAACAAACTTAGTCATTGCATACATTATTTGCTAAAGAAGAAGAATAGATGTGCGTATACAATAATAACAAGAAGTAGTTTCATGCAAAATGATTCATTGATTTTTGCTGTCAAACAAAAAATAAAATGTTGTTCTTTTCATATTTTTTTAAATTGAATGAAAATATAAAAATAAATGAATGAAATTTGATAAATTAATGATCTATAAATAGATGGCAGTAATTAAAAATCTTGGTAAAGGTTGATAATAGAATTCTATTCGTTCGTTTGCTATATTTCTCTTTGATTAATTCGTTGTTGAAGAATTTGTTTTTTTCGAATGGATTGATATGTTCAAAACTCGTCTATTAATTCGACTTTGTATTATTTATTTTGTTTTATTTTTTTTTATTGCTCTATGGTATTTATCAAAATTAGACACAAATGAAATGAAACCCCCATTAGTACATCGTTTAGCTGTTATTGTTCCATATCGTAATCGTTCAAATGAATTAGAAATATTTTTATCTCATATGAATTCATTTCTTAACTCTCAATCTGTTGATCATATTTTTATAATTATAAATCAAGTTGATAAACATCGATTTAATCGTGCTGCTCTAATTAATATTGGTTTTATTGAATCTCGATCATTCGTTGATTACATTGTTATGCATGATATTGATCTACTTCCATTAAATCATAAAGGATTACCATATAAATATCCAGAGTATGGTCCAATACATTTAGCATCACCAGAATATCATCCAATTTATCATTATCCTAGTTATGTTGGTGGAATATTGATCATTACTTGTCAAGATTTTGAACGTGTTAATGGTATGTCACCGTTATATTGGGGATGGGGTAGAGAAGATGATAACTTTTATGTGAGAATGAAACGTGCTGGAATGAAAATATATCGTCCAAGTAATTTATCTACAAATAATACTAATACATTTCAACATATCCATGATAATAGTATACATAAACGAGATTATGCAAAATATGGAAAACAAAAAGAAGAAGGAAAAAGAATTTATCCTGAACTAGGTTTTAATACAACGAAGTATGAAATAATAAATAAAGAAATAAAAAAGACTAATCAGGGAATTGAATATATTATGTTAGATGTTAAAATTGAATGTGATTATAATCTAACATCTTGGTGCGATCATCCTACTAATATTTTGAAATAATTAGTCAGATATTTATAATAAAATAAATGATTTTCTTTTTCTTTTTTTTACTTTCTAATAAATTTTAGATATATAGATGAGTGTTAGTCGTGTTGTTATTACTGGTCTCGGTGTTGTTTCACCATTAGGTGTTGGTGTAGAATTAAATTGGCGTCGTTTATTAGATAATTATTCAGGTATTGTTTCACTTAATGAAAAAGAATATGTTGGTATTCCATGTCGAGTGGCTGGTCGTGTACCAATAAGTTCAGAAAGTGAAAATCAAGATGGTTCACTTAATTTTTCTAAATTTTTTACACGAATGTCGGATTTAAAATCCATGTCATTAGCCAGTGCTTTTTCTCTTGTTGCTGCTCAAGAAGCCATTGAACAAAGTCAAGTGAATAAAATTTTGCTTTTTTTTATGTGAAAATATTGAATTAGTTAATAGATACTTTCAGCATGTACTGATCCAACACGAATTGGCGTATCAGTTGGTAATGGTATAGCTGGTCTAACAAATACATGTACTTTATGGGAACAAATAAAAACAAAAGGAATATATCGTGGAATGAGTCCATTTTATATAACACAAATTTTACCAAATTCATCGGCTGGTTATATATCAATTCGGCATAAATTACAAGGTCCTAATGTATTTTATTAGATTTAAATATTTATAAAGTTAATAAATTATTTTGTTTTTTTTGTTTAGCTTTGTAATAGTTCAGCTTGTGCAGCTGGTGTTCAAGCAATTGGCGATGGTTATAATATGATTCGTCTTGGTCATGCGGATGCTATGATCTGTGGTGCTACAGAGGCAACAATTAATCCAATAACAGTATCAGGTTTTGCACGAATGCGTGCTCTTTCAACATCATTTAATGATCAACCTAAACTCGCGTCACGTCCATTTGAGTAAATGATTTTTATTTTTATGATAGATTTATTTAGCTATACTTTGTAATATTTAGTCGACAACGGGATGGTTTTGTTATGGGTGAAGGAGCTGCTATTCTTATATTGGAACGACTTGAATATGCTGAAAAACGAGAAGCTAAAATTCTTGGTGAAATACTTGGGTATGGTTTGAGTTCAGATGCAAGTCATATTACAAATCCAAGTGGATCAGGCGCATTAAATTGTATGAAAAATGCATTAAATAATGCTCGTTTGAATACGACAGATATTGGTTATATAAATGCACATGCTACATCGTATGTATTAAACTTACTTTAATTTGATTGAAATTAAATAATACAAGGAAATAGAGAAAAGTGATTAAGCGATAAAATTGGCTCCCTCTCGAAATTAAGTTTCTTATTATCTTAATAGTTAGTTCGGATGTCAGAAATGATTTGCTGTTCGAATTAATCAGTTACTTCTCATTCCAACTGTGCATGACTGATTTAAAACTCAACATTATATATTCTTTATAGAGTCGTGGTATACAGTATTCGTCGGAAAGTTTTTCTTCCTTCCCCATTTTCTCTAGATGGCATTGCTCACCCGCATATAGAGTACAAAAGTATCCATGACAAAATCCCTTTTCTATGGTTCTATGAAAACAGCTATCTATTTTGAATTGTATACTATTCGATAGCCCTTTTGAAGCTCTGTAAAATGCGGTCATTACACCAATTTAAGTTTGTGCTCAAGACATTTTAAAAGTAATATATATATGAAATCAAGTTAAAGAAATGAGTCAACCACTGTATTTCAAAGAACGTTCCATCAACTTTCATTTTCCTCCAAGAGTTCAGTCCTTCTCCGTAGGATTACGTCAAAAAAAAATGAATTCAATTAAAACTTCGTTTTTATTATTGGTCCAGCTGTCACGTTGAATTCTTCTGACTTGTTAAGATCGTATAAATGTATTTTCATAATGAGAGTGACGTTTCGATTAAATTTATTTTTGGATGTATTCCTTGAGGAGGATTATGACTTGACTATTGAAGGAAAATGAAAGATAATGGATCGTTTGGTAGGGTACATAGATCGATGAAGTTGTTTCTGTTGTTTTCAAAAATATTATTCGCTTTAATAGAAAGTCTATCTATTCAAGTAAAAAAACGGTCAACAAGAGCAACTTTTAGCCCTCTCGAATATGGTGTACTTGAGTAGAATGTCTTGTACACAAACTAAGCTTAGTGTTATAGCAACAATTTACAGAGCTTCAAAGGGGTTATTAAAAACTATGTGATTCTAAATGGATCGCTGCTTTCACAGAATTGTAGGAGAAGAATTTTACCATGGGTATGAACAATACCTCCTAGACTAAAAAGGGAAGAAGAATATTGTGTCATATTCTTATATGCCATTTGACAGCGAAAGAAAAACTTTCCAAATCAACACTACATACCATGACTCCGAAGAAGATCGATTATATCGAAATTGAAGTCAGCCACGTACAGCCTGAATGACAACTACTCGATCGATCCGAACTGGCTATGAAGAAAATATGACACTTAATTTCCAGATAGGCATGGTTGTATTGCTTAATAACCACCTTCCATTTCTAATCTATTAGTATTTTGTAGAACTCCAATCGGTGATCGTATTGAACGGCAAGCTATCACACAATTATTTCAATCAAATACTACTAATGTTTTAATTTCGAGTAATAAAGGTCATACAGGTCATTTACTTGGTGCTGCTGGTGCTCTTGAATCTATGTTTACTGTTCTTACCTGTTATCACGCTATATGTCCTCCGACATTAAATTATAAAGGTGATAACGATGAATCTTCTGATTCATCATTATTAAGTATTATTCCTGATAATAAACCATTATCATGGAATAATAAAAGACGTATTGCATTGAAAAATTCATTTGGTTTTGGTGGAACGAATTCTTGCCTAGTTATATCAAATTTTTTTTAGATAAATATGTCATTTGCTGATCAATTAAAGTCAGTACGACTACGCTCAAAACAACCACCAAAAGAAAAAATTAATGAACAACTTTTATGCTCTGATAGTGATACATATAGAAAAATGATGAATGAAACACAATTTGAATATTATTATGATATTATCAAACAATGGACATTTCCATCGGCTATTTTATCAATGAATGAAGATGACATAAAAGCGCTTCATAATGGACACTTACTTTTTAAAAAGTCTTCATTTGATGATGATGATAAAAAAACCGAAGAATGTTTTCAACAATATCAACAATTATTTAAATTATCAAATGCAATTGATTCATGTGATATCCAACGACCAATATTTGTACGTTTATCAACAAGAAGTCCAAAAGATGCAATCTTATTATTGAATAAAGAGAAATCTAAACGACTTTTTCAAAAAGTGTTGAATGAAATGGAACCTGATGATACATCTGGTTTAGTTTTTATTTATTTTATATTTTTATCATTCTATTTATTTCAGAACATAATCGACGTTTAATTGCACTTGATGAAGCATCAATTCGTTTGCTAGCTGTAAACGATGGTTTTCATGCTGTACAAGTTCTACTTGCTAGTGAACGTATTCAAGATGATCTAACATCATGTTCATCATTGAATTTAATAATTCGTCAATTTATATTTGATCGTCGAAATTTAAAAAGTGAACTTCGTGCATTTATATTCAAACATAAATTAACAGCATTAACACAATATAATGAATATATATTTGATAAAAATTTATTGAGAAAAAAAGATCTTATATTAAAATCGATTAAAAATTTTTTTCAAAATGAACATGTACTTGAACGAATTCCTTATGAAAATTGTATATTAGATTTAATATTAATTGAAAATGAAAATAATAATTATCAAATATTTATTTGTGAAATAAATCCATTAGCAGAATTTGCTGGCACTGGATTATTTTCATGGTTAAACGATCGAAATATTCTATTAGGTCGTCAAGAATTTGAATTTCGTATAAAAGAAAATGATAATAATGAATATTCCGAAGCGAATGATCAATGGTTATCATTGATTAATAATTTCTAAAGCACAAAAATCTTTTTTTTTTCTTATTTTTTCAGATGTTCTAATAACAATAGACATGCCACATCAATCAGCAGATATAATTAATTTAAATGTTGGTGGTCAACGTTTTTCTACTAGTCGACAAACATTAACATGGATATCAGATTCATTTTTTACTGCTATGCTTGGTGGATTAATATCAACCAATCGTGATGAACAAGGTTATATATTTATTGATCGTGATCCAAAATTATTTTCAATTATTCTAAATTATTTAAGAACAAAAGAACTTGGTAAATGAATTCATTTTGAAATAATAATAATAAATTCGGTTTCACACAAGTTTTTAAACAATATTAGGCAAATTCTTTGCAATTGTAATAGATTGTTGTACCTATTGAAGATTAAATAATTACAAAGTATTAAGTCGATAGCTTTTAATACGAATGAGAAATTGTACTAAAAATGTGATGTACTATTTCAGCAATTATTGCGTTGTTCTTGGTTAATATTTATGATGAAAGACATTTTCGAAATAACACGAAACGTATATTAAACTATGAATGCTTATATATTTGACTATCATCATAATCAATTATGAAGTTTTAATTATCCTGGTATATTATTTATAATTAGCTAATATAAAGTAATATTAAATTTGTTTTTCCATTCATTTTTAATGCCGTCTTTCAGTTGTTCAATACGGTTGCGTTCTGACTCCTGTCATTTTGCTTTTAATGAGTTTGAAATGTTTTCTAGAGATGATTTGCCGACTAATTTTGTAGCACACTTCTTTGGTTTATATTGATCCATAAAAACATGTTCGACGACATCTAGAGCCATCTGTATTCTTTCTTCAGGATCTTTGAAAAATTGAACTCTGAAAATCACCTAGTTCCTTAGCTACGTTGTTTTTGTCGCAATAATTCGCATGAATTTTATATGTCGGTGACTAAGTAAAAAATATTTTCTGACAATAATCATTATCGGATGGTCTAATGATTTCTAGGAATACATCAGAGACTTTCTCAATTGAACTTATTGGAAAATTAAGAACGTAGTATCTGATAGTGCTGTTACATTCTGTCATCTATAGTGAAAGCTGCCGACCGAGAACTTCTTAATTATTTAGTATTAACGGAGCAGTATCTCCAAGTTTCAAATTGCTTAGGAATTGATGTTATGTGCATCATGTATATTTTAATGAGTTATAAGTCCACTGAAAAAAATTTCAAGATATTAGCTTTATTGCTACCAAGATACTGCACTTTTACCGTATTTTTCAACATAATGATGTGCTCTCACCCCTCAGGAATACTACGAAAACTAATGTTCCTTGGTTTTTTGGTATTCATGAGAGTAAGGAGCACGTCATTATGCTAAACAATACAGTAAAATTGCAATATCTCAGCAGCGATAAACTAATAGCTCGAACATTTCCAAGGACTTCATAGTTGATTAGGATCTAGATGATGCACTTCATCTTGACTCAAGAGCTATTTGACACTTGAAAACGTTCTCTCGTGAGTATGTACAACATTGTAAAGAATTTGCTTTTGTTGAATTAACGAACAATGAATTTCAAAAAGTCGTTTGAAAATTTCTAGAACATTCTTCATATTCTTTTTTGATTTTTTTTCTTATTACTCAGATATTAATGGTTGCGATCTTCATATGTTAAAACACGAATGTGAATTTTATGGTGTACAACCACTAATTCGTCGTTTACAACTTTGTGAAGATCTAGAACATAGTCAATGTGGTGATGTTCTTTTTAATGGTTATATTAATCCTCCACATTCAACTAATACACAAATTTCATATGAATCAACACAATTATTACCAGCTCAGCCGATTGTTTATCAACCAGCGCTATCTCAACCAACAAGTTCAGTTCGGCCTGGAACTGCTCTGCGATTAAATAATATCATGCAACAAACATTAAATCGTAGTGCATCACAAATAGGAGATTTTAGGTATGTGTCATAAACACATATAAAACCGATTTGAATTAAGATCGAGAATATCTCAAAGAAATAAATGTCATATGAAATATGATTAATTAAAGCATGTTCTACTATTACAGATTAATTAACAAAGATTCAAAACAATTTGTACTCACTATTCAATTTTGTGTCGAGAGTCTTTCTAGAAGAAAAAACATGAATCAATGTCTATTCTTGTTCATGATGAGGATATGGATAAATCAAATACTCTCAAAATTTGATCAGTATTTATTATAATTATTTTTTGTGGTTACTCATCAAAAGCAGACTAAAACTAGATATGCACAGAGTTATCCTATCCTACTCTATACAGTAGAATACCAGTTAGAAAATTTTTCTCAGTCACGATACAGAATACGGAAAAAAAAGCTTAGTGTGCATATCTCTTATTAAAATCTTCTTTATGGAATGTTTTTTTTTTCTTTTGTATTGAAGAAATTCATCAGCTGACTTTGTTTCTGGGGGTCCATCAGCACCCAGTGTTAGTCGTGGACATTCACGTGCATCGTCGACTGATTCAGTTCTTTGGGCTACACATCAATCAAGTACATCATCATCTCATTTTCGTCAGAAATCAGCAGCATTTATTGATCATCATCCTCCAACACAAAATTCACCAACAGCAAGTGTCATTCTTCTTGCTGGACATCATAATTGGATTAGTGCTGCTTATTCAAACAATGGTTTGCGATTGTTTTCTATTAATAATTTAAAATAATTTTTCTAATTTTTTCTAGTTGTCATGTGCTATAAAATGAAAGATACAAGTGGATGGCAAATAATGTTTGAATCAGAAGTTCAATCTGATGATATTTATCGTTTAGCTATAACAGCTCGTTCATCATCATCATCAGCTAGTCAACAAAGTCAAGAATCAACATCAAATCTTCGAGAATCAAAGCTTCTTGCTATTGCTGTACGAACAAATGTTCGTCTTTGGAATATAGTTGATGCATCAATTCATACTATTCTTGGAACATTTGCATTTGGTGGACCAATCGATAATTTATTTTTTATTAATTCACAATTAGTAGCAACAGGTGATGAAAGAAAAGTCGGTGTATGGCATTCAATTTCACAACAATGGCAAACACAAGAATTAACACGAATATTAAGTTTTGATACTGTATGCACTTTATTTTTCTACTTTTGATTCATAAGAAAAATTTGTTCTTAATTTTAGGCCGGAACATTTCTATTACTTGGAAGTGAAACAGGATCAATTTATTATTTTGATATGCAAAAATTTCCATTGAGAATGAAAGATAATGATTTATTAATTACAGAAATATTCAAGTACAATTTTTTGAATTGGTTTTTGCTATAATATAATATCATTAAAATTTTCTTTTTTTTTTTTTAGAGATCCAGCTAGTGAATCAATTACAGCATTAAGTGTTTATTTAACACCAAAGACAAGTGTTACAGGCAATTGGTAAGAAAAAAAAAAACAAATTAAAGAAAACAAATTAAATTTTATTATCATAGGATTGAAATTGCTTATGGCACGAATTCTGGTATAATTAGAATTGTTGTACAACATCCAGAAACTGTTGGTCATGGGTAATTAATTATTATGTATTGTATAATGTAAATTGTGAAATACAATTTTGTTTAGTCCTCAACTTTTTCAAACATTTTGTGTACATCGTAGTCCAGTAACAAAGGTTTATATAAATTGAAATTCAACTATTCAATTTATTTATTTATTACATTTATTTTCTAGATTATGCTTTCGGAACGGCATTTAATAAGGTAAAATTATTTGAAATAGGTTATTTATACATTTTATATAATGATTAGTGTATGTGCTTCGAATAATCATGTTCGTACATGGAATGTTACTCGTTTTCGTGGCATGATTTCTACTCAGCCAGGTTACAAATATTTCGATTAAATTATATTTCATAAAACTAAATGTTTATTTTAGGATCGACACCTCTTGCTTCCTACCGTGTTGTATCTATTGAACCAGCTCGATCAATAGCTAGTTATACTGCTGGCAATGTAAGATTATCTTTTTTTTCCGTTTCTCATTCATTTTCTTTTGTTATTTCTTTTAGGATATTGGTAAGAATTATTCATAGAAATGTAGAACGAAAAAAAATTATTTATTAATTTAGGGCCATATGGTGATCGTGATGATCAACAAGTTTTTGTTCAAAAAGTAGTACCATTTGAAACAAATCAAATTTATGTCAGATTCTGTTCAACAGGTATACTTATATACTTAAACAAAGGTTTTTCTATAATATAATATTTATTTTGAAATGAATAATAATTATAAATGGCAAGCTATCGGTGAGATCCATATTGGCTTAAAATGTAAAATACGATAGAGTTGCTGACATTTTATAAGAATGAATTCATCATGATAGGTTTTTAATTTGTGAATTCTTACTTACTAGTAAAGATGGTATTTGTAATATATAACAATTCATATGGAAACAAGGCGAAGGATTGTTATCCGAAATTCAACTGTGTTTTGAACTAATTCTGCGACGCGAATACCACTCTGTACCAATAATACTTTTGCCAATTATTAGCAAATGTTTAGTAGATTTTTACCAATTGTCATAGAACACTATGAATGCAACGAACATTTGAGAATTATGCCAAATACTATTGAAATGTCATTTGTTGATAGCACTCGCAGTGTGTTCGAATATGATCAAATCAATTTTGAGTTAAAATATACTTGAATAAAAAGATAACAGAAGCTAATACAAGTCATAGAAAAGCAAAACTAAGAAAGAAAATAAGCGAGTCATTGAAAAAAGCTGTTCGCACAACTTCTACAGTTTTAAAATGTGAAACGCGATTTAGCTACCGTTGCTAATCATAGAAACATGATTTTATTCTATCCATTGTGAAGCAAATTGTTTAACCAACCTTTTATTTAATCCTTCAAAAGGACAATAAGTGAATGTAATTGATACAAATCTTTGTAATAAATATCAAAGAGACACTTCCGTTGCCAAATTCTCTGGACTTTAATCAATCAGTCAAAATGCAGGGAGCTCCTTGCCGAGAGTCTAGTGGATGTTCACCAGTATCGAAAGTCCTATTGATGAGTTTCAGGTAAATCTTCGCAATAGGCTTCGGTCTTACACCTATGTCTGTCAAAGTCCATAAGAACATAACAGTAATACTAAGACATGTATGGTCCTATTGGCATCATTCTAGAATCAAAATTCGATGAAAATATTTCACGATACACTTAACTGCAAATGTTTCAATGCAGAAATAAAACTCATGTTTTGTTGTTTTTCTTTATAGGCAGACGAGTCGCTATTGTTCGATCTGTGGATAGTTCTCCAATTAGTTGTTTTACAATACATGAATGTGAAGGACCATCAAGATTAAGTACACGTCCTCGTCGATTTATTTTTACTGGTCATGATAATGGTTTGTTTAAATGATTTAACAAACATAATGAAAAAAAAAACCGAATTTATTTTTCGTAATAGGATCTATTCAATTATTTGACTTAACAACTGCTATTGAACTTAGTTCTAGTTCAGATTTAAATTCTATCTCATTGTCATCTTCACCATCTCAAAATAATAATGGTGGTCCATCACCAGCTGATTTACTTAAAATGCTTGATCATTGTGATTTTGCAGCTACCAATGGTCAAAATCAAAACTTTTTATCATCACGCTGTTCAACACCGTGTTGTATTAGTAATAACTTACCAATAACAACTGTCAATTGTACGACTGCTTTAATATCTTCACCATTATCACAAACAATAACAAAAGAGGACAGTGATAAAAATGTTTAATATTGCATTTATTTCTCCTTCTATATCCATGTTTGATAATACGTATCTATTTTAATACGCACAAAAAAACAAAAATCAAACAATCTCGCGCTTCCAAAAATATGAGTGAAAAACCTATCTTATATCTGATTTTTTTTATTGCTTTTTGTTAAATTAAGTCTATGTCATTATTATCGGGTTTATTATTCAAAATATTCTTAATCAATATATAAAATACATTGACAAAAAAAATCTTTCAGATGTTAAAAATATTGAATACCGTTGACCATGATTTATCACTTCGTTGGGCTTTATGCGGTCGATTGAATTCTCCGTATCTTTATTTAAGAAAATTTGTTATTGCTTTAGAATTTTCTGGTTCAGGTTATGTTTGGATTCCGTATTCGTTTCTTATGATTGGAATGAATTATACATCAATCAATGACGCTATGCGTTACATTTTACTATTTACTGGACTAATGTTTGATGTTGCTGTTATTGGTACAACTAAATGGTTTGTACGTCGTCCAAGACCAATAATTAATCATGATGATGTACTTTCAATTGGACCAGATAAATTTTCTTTTCCAAGTGGTCATACATCTCGAGCTGTGTTTTTACTTTTTTATTTTATAAAAACTTCTTTTTTTCAAAGTATTCCAGGGTCAGTTATTATAAGTTGGTTAAGTACTGTAGTTGCATCACGTGTTTTATTAGGACGTCATTATATATCGGATGTTTTAGCTGGAGTTGTGTTTGGAGTTTTTGAATGTACAGCTATTGTACGTCTTACACCTTTTGTAACTCAACTTATTTTTTCTATTTTTGATGTTCCACATTGATGATCAAAATAAATTGATTTCTTCTATCTGTCAAGACTTTATATCTTAGGTTTGTTGTTTTAAAACTCAATGTTATCAATCATTTGTTTGCAAACATCACATACACATACACATTCATTCGTATTTGTTTACGAAAAGAGATTAGAATAAATTTTTTGATTTCAACGAAAGAATGATGACCATCAACAAGGCAAAAGTTTTGATTGTCATTGTTCATTGATGTACAATGATGACAAGCATTTTAACTTCTTTGATCATGATTATCTGGATAATAGTTAATCAAGGTAATAATTCAAAAAACATAATAAAGAATTGACATTTTTTTTCTAGCTCAAGCAAATTGTCAAAATGATACATCAGAATCAAAATTTATATATCGACGTGTGTGAGTATCTTCAATTATGATAAGTTTTTCGAAATCCTTTGAATTTAGTTGCTATTTTGCTAATTGGGCAGCTAAACGGACTGATAATATTAGTCGTTTAACTCCTGAAGATATCGATCCATTTTTATGTACACATATTAATTTTGCTTTTGGTAAAGTACTTGAAAGTTTAACAATAGCACCATATGAAGAAGATGATTTGAAAGGATGGACTCTAAATTCAAAAGGCATGTATGAACGTGTATTAACACTTAAAGAAACTAATCCTGATCTACGTGTTTTATTGAGTGTTGGAGGATGGTCTCATGCATCACGTGGTTTTAATGATGTATCAAAAAATGATGCTAATATGTATAGTTATTTTTTATTTTTTGTTAAATTAAAATACTTTATGCTTGCATTTAGAAAAACGTTTGTCAATAATAGTATCAAATTTTTACGAGATAATAAATTTGATGGATTGGATTTAGATTGGGTAAATTAATAGAGATAGTTTTATCAAACACGATCTAAAAGCAGTATTGAACTATACAGTTAAAGATTTTCTTCCTCATTTCTATAGTGTACGGCTAAACGAACATTGAGCTAAAAGTGAAAATCGCACGTTTTTAACATTTAAATGCAGGAAAATCTGTTTAGAAATATAGTCCATCTAATGCTATAAAGAACTTAATAATCATTCTAAAAGAAATTAAGAAGCCTGTTGTATAAAAATTAGCTTAAAAATCTTAATGTCATCAAGAAAATTGATATCTAGCAAAATTAAAGCATAAAATAATTTCGAAGAAAAAAGTCTTCTTGAAAAAAAATGTAAGCAAGGATTTTTCTTCAGCATCTTTCATTGGAAACTATTTTTGCTAAAAAATATTTTCGTTTTTCTTAAAGATGGTTTTCTGCGTCATATTCAATCACTTTTGAGTAAAGAAATTCGTTTCTCAGTAAGGAAATCGCATGTCTGCTTGCCATACGAATCATACATATTGCGTTCTCCTAAATAAGTAGTAAACGTGTGTGAAGCGGCTCATCATAAATCGTAGCAAACGTTGTTGATATACAGCCTCAGATCATATATCAATAACATCTCATTATAATGAAGTCCTAGACAAAAGTGGCCACTCCCCATGAGATGTTATTATTCTTTGTTATATTGAGCTTATTTTTGGAGTGCTTGCATGCAATGATAAATTCTGATCGAAAGTACCGTCCCACTCTCGATTGGTTAATATATACTGGAGTTTTAATTTATGCATTATCTCATATCAACCATGTTTTCATGAATATTTCTGTCGAATATTTTATTTGAAAGCTCGATGTTGTAGCTATTTCTAGTCTGAACTTTGTTAGAAACTGCTTTAAAATAAGTGAGATATTGTCTTTTCCTGAAGAATGCATGTTGAAGAAAAATATTGATTTTTGGTAAATGAGTCTTTTCCATGATGAGTTTGACCAATGCATTTGAAAATTTTACTCAAAATTTCCAATGAGACAACAAGTTTGGTTTGAAAATTTGATGTCTATAACATTGGATAAAGTTTACTGAATGTTACGACGCAGGTCTACCATTTCAGGGCATGCTAGTTATTCATATCTTAACTATGTGTCACAGACTGTGATGATACTGAAGTAGACATTTAAAGCTTGTTTTAGCGCTGTAAGAAAGCATTAGTAGCTTGTGAAATAGCAAAATAACAAACAAAAACTTTTTATGTACAATTTTTTGCCTGACTATATTTTTCACAAGAAAGAGAACGTGTGTGAATCATAGCTTCAATACATGTGAACTGATAACGAGCAGGTTAGTGCTTGCGATCAGAATCTATTGTTGTACGCACGCACAAATATTATGAGTTGAATTTCATGAAGATTAGTAACAGTTCATAGGAGCGACTCCTTCAGTTCAGAACTGTAAATGAACCATGTCCCTATTGCATATTTGAAGGATTAGGTGAAAGGATGGTGAAGAAATGTATCCCAAAATAGAATGAATAATACGATCTTCCTGTGATTAACAATAGCAATTATATCGTGTTTTACATTCTAATCCCACAGGGAATGTGTTAATAGTTTTATTAAATTTAATTGAAAATATTTTATTTGAATAGGAATATCCCGGTGCAAAAGATCAAGGTGCAGAACCTCATTCTAAAACTGGATATACAAAATTAGTTAAGGTAAAAGAAATAAATAAAATGAACATTATTAGAAATATCATATAAAATAGAAATTGAGTCAAATGTTTCAACAAGAAGCTGAAGAAACAGGAAAAGAAAAATTACTATTAACATGTGCTACAGGTGTTTAAATTGTTTATAAGAGACCAAATAATTAATTAATATTTGTTTAGCTGCAGCACGACATCGAATTGAAGCTGGTTATGAAGTTAAAGAAGTTTGCAAGTAAGAGGTTATTTTTCATTAAATACATTTTGTAAATTTTGTTTTTCTTTCAGATATTTTGATTTTGTATCTGTAATGACATGTAAGTAATTTAATAATAAAACCTTTTTTCCTTTTAAGAAAAAATTTTCTTTTTCTTCTTGATTTAGATGATTATCATGGTAGTTGGGAAGGTAAAACTGGACATAATAGTCCATTATATGGAATGCGTAATGAAAGAAAAAAATTTCGTGAATGGAATATAAATAGTTCAATGAATGTGTGGGTTGAATTAGGTTGTCCAAAAGAAAAGTTGAATGTTGGTCTTTCAGCTTATGGTTCGCTTCTTTTTTTTTCCTGTCTTTATCCTATACTTTTACGATGAGTTATTCATTCAGGAAGAGCTTTTTCATTACTTCGCGAACCAGGTTTAACTAATAATAAATCAATGCGAAAGAAAAAAACATCGATTGGATTAAAAGCAGGTGCTGCTGAAGCTGGAAAATATACACGAGAAGCAGGTGTTCTGTCTTATTATGAAGTAAATTTTAATTTATATAATTCGAATATATTTTCATTGTATAATAAATAGATTTGTGAATTGATTCAAAAAAATCCAAGTAATCGTGTATTATGGCATCGTGAAATGAATGTTCCATATGTATCAAGTGAAATATTATGGATTGGTTATGATAATATTCGAAGTGTTAAACTAAAAGTAGAGAAGAAAAACATTTATTTTAAATTGAATAACAATTTATGTTTTTGTTTTTTGAAATTAGATGCAATTTTTAAAAGAACATGGTTATGGTGGAATAATTATCTGGTCATTAGATTTAGATGATAAAACAGGTGAATTTTGTAATGAAGGTCCATTTCCATTATTCAATGCAGCTAAAAATGAATTATTAATTATACCTGAGCATTTATCTAATGTAAATAAAAAATGTCTTGATGATAATAGTACATTATCACTTGACCAACTTTTTTCACAATCGATAACAATAACAGGAATACATCGAAGTAAGATTCGAAAATTTCTCAATTTTAATTAAGTTTTTGTTTTATTTTTTAGATTTTGTCGTTATTTTTTACTTGATGTTATTATATATATTTTGAATAAACAATAAATAAATAAATAAATTCTGAATATATATTTATCAATGATATAGTTGTTTCTTTTTTATAGATGGATGAAATAAATAATCGCAATAATGAATATATCAAAACAGAACTTATTACAAAATTATTAAAACATTTTTTACCTGAAGATAAATCATCACGTTTATCAAGTGAGATGGTGAAATATTTTACAGAATTAATATTTATATTTATTCATCAAGCATTGACACGTACAATTCAACAAGCATCAACAGAAGGAACAATTCACGTTGATATTCAACATTTTGAAAAAATTTTAATGCAATTATTACTTGATTTTTGATAATTAGATGTTAACCAAAAACGAAAAGAAAAATAAATAAAAAAAGATTAGAATAAGATATGTATATTTTTTTTTTGTATTTTAGATGGCAACAATAAATTCAAAACATTCATCAGGATCGTTTAATCAAAAGTCATTATCGAATTCGAGTTTAGGCGATGGTCAAGTACTTTATTGTCTTTGTCGATCAAGTGATTGTTCAACATTTATGATGTATGAAAAAAGAAATATATTTTTCTAGAATTTATTTTCATGTGAAAAATTTTTAGTGCATGTGATGCATGCAATATATGGTATCATGGTTCATGTATTGGAGTTAGTGAAAAAGAATCAGCAAGAATAGAAAATTTCTTTTGTCATCAATGTCGTCGTAAGTAATCTTTAATTCATTAAACAGTTTAATATACAGTAAAATCTCTTCATTATAAACCTCTTTAAGACTAATGAAAATTCTTCAGTATGACAGAACGATCATTTTAGACGATACCAGATATAAAATAAAGCTAAACATCATTTTGGCTACTTTCCATCAATTGTTTCCTTTTAAATGCTTATGGTTGTTTTTCTTTTTTTATTGGAGATATTTCTTACTATTTTCAATGTTTGAGATAGTTCGAAGTAGATCAACTCAAATTTAATCTCGAGATTCTGCTTAAACAAGTCGAAAAAACAATCTGAATAGAGAACTCTTTGAAAGCATTCAAATTTAGATAAAAATTGATAAGATTTGATTGTAGTTCATTATTCTAGTAATGAAAGATTCGATTTTAATATGTTTTATAATTTTTGAATAGCAAATCACTCTAGTATATTATCATTGATAATTTGATTAACATTATCTTATAGATAATGTTTCGTCTTTGTCTTAATGTAATTCTTTTTTTTGTATTGGATAATATTTGATACACTACCAATAGATTCTTGAAACTGTTGCCTTCATTCACGGTCAGACAAACCATATCATTTTTCATTGAATGAAAATTCATGGTTTGCTTTATAAATCAAGTACATTATAGCTTGTCAACAAATCAAAAGTATTTATTAAAATGACATCGTTGCATCTATTCATTCAATTTTCGTAGTATGCAATCATGAAATCAATCGGAGTCATGAAAATGATCTTCAAAACTCCAATCGTAGGATTTGTTTATGTAGCGCACTCTATTGATATTCATATTGAAAAAGTCAATGCGTACAGTTGCGCACTAAAAAAATGCTTTGCATTCAGAATCAAAGACTGATCATATAGGAGAGGCAAAGAATCGGTTGTTAAAACAAACATTTTTTCTAAATAAAGAGAATATTTCAAAAATTCATTGAACTGTCAAAGTTTAAGATGATTTCTCTACTTAACTTGTATTTTTCAGCAAAATAAAAGAGCACAATCTTATTGACCATACATATAAACATATATTAAAAACAAACAACCTTTTTTTAATGACCACTTCATTAAAGAAATCCTCATTTTAAAAAGTAATATAGTGAACAGTAAGTGAAAAGAAATAGTATTATTTCTTCTTATCGAACTTAAATTAGAAAAACTGTATACTGAATTTGCATTCTTCTTTAACTAAGAAGAACATTTTTTTTATCTCAAAATTTCCTATGCAACAGTTTTGCTTAAACAATTATGGCTTCGAAACTTGTTCGACTGCCCATTGATATACGCTAGTAGATTCTATATTTCTGAAATGTTTGTTGAGAGAAATTTTACTGTAAATGCTTCCTTTTTAGATAAAACACCTAGTTTACAAATTCGATATAATAAACCACAAAAAGAAATTGAAGAAAAATTAAGTAAATGTATTAAAGTAAGAGTTCTTCTTCAGTTTTGACATAATTTTCTTATGCATTTGACTTTAGAGACGATTACAAAAAGAAGCACAGCTCTCGAATCCTTCATCAAATTCTTCACAAAAACAAGATGAAATGTCAACTGTAAGCTAAAGAATAAATCAACTAATGAGAAAATCACTTGAACTGATATCCATCGTTTGTGCTCATGTTAGGCTCACGTGAACATCTTAGTGAAACTAGCAAAGTTCTAAAAAAAGAACATCCCCGTGAATCTTTGACGATAAAGGAACATTGCTTCCAGTTGAAAATTTCAAAATATAGTACAGATCATTTAATCCATCTAATTCAATGAAACGATCAGTAATCATCTTTAAAGATTCATGGATACAAACATTTTTTGCCAAGCACTAGTCTCACAAAGACTTTCTTGTGAGTTCAAATGACAGATCTCAGTTCAGATGATTCTCACCTAAGCATAATTAATGTTTTAAATTATTTTCCATAGAATGGTAAAAAGAATAGAGAACATTCCAGTAGTATGGATCAATTTGCTAATGATGATTCGACTAGTAATCAATCAGACTCATCATCATCATCAACCAATATCATGTCTCGACAACAGCAAGTATTACATGGAAATACTTCTGGAGTTGCTCGTTCGACTGGTATTCAATCTGTACAATATGAAGCCTTAGTATCACGTGATGAACAGGAACCAGCAATTAAGAGTTCAACAAACATAACAAAACGTTCATTAATAACGAAAAATATTGGAACTAGCGAAAAACGAAAGAGAAACGTTAGTAGTAGTGGTGTGACTACTATCAAACGAGAACCACAGTCAGAATTAAATGATGAAGTTAGTCAATTTTTTTTCGTAAAAAAAAAGAATATTAGTTTTTGAAATATTTCTTGAGGAAGACACAAAAAATCTGAATGTTCGACGACGTCGCCGTATTGATGGAAAAACATCTCGTCAATGTTACGGACCAGGTTGTCTCTTCGAAGCACGCCCTGGATCAAAATATTGTTCGGACAAATGTGGTTTAGAATTAGCTCGAAAGTATTAAAAATTTGATTATAATATCATCATATATATACAGTAGTGGGCAAAAGTCTTCGCTCCAGACGATTTCAACCAGTATATATGCTGTAGATCTGAAAAGTGGTGTACAGACACTTTGTCGAGACTGTAGGTCATTGGCATTGTGACACTGTCATTACTTAATTACAAAAGAAGTTACGAAGGATGACACTTATTTTTCTTGAGATCCGATTCTTCAATACGTTTCAGTTGTCAAGATTATTAGTTTCATTCAAGTTCATCAATTCTTTCAGAGACTATGTTCATTTTACATTGATCATGACTGTGAAGAGATATTATTTACTGCCTTTTGGAGGTCAATAAGTTAATGGTAGTTCAATAAAAACAAGTTCAAACTTTGAGAAACTTTCCCCACAGTTAGACTTGAATGCGTACAAGTTTCAGAAACAAATTTTATCATATTTTCTTTTTTTTGAGTGAAAAATACCGTAGATAATACTTCAGATATATTTTTCGTGAGACATAGCGCAAAATTTTGAAGTTAGTCTTTTTTTGATTTATAATGCTCAGAGAAAAAGAAAACAAGTGTTGTCCATTATAATTCTCTTTGTAATCGAGAAATAACAGCATCATGATGCCAATAATTTCCATTCTCGGTGAACTACATATACACAAATTTTCAGACCTTCAGCATATACAGTGATCGAGACTGACTAGAACAAAGATTGTTGTACATTTCTGTATATACGTCATATGTGTTTCTATTAGTCGTCTTCTTCAATTTCTTCCAATGCGTCTAATGCAATGGCAAACAATACCATCTGTTGCTGATACTTTAAACAAAAAAGCTATTGATGAAATTCGAACTGAAATTGAAGAAATAAAACAACGTTTATTAGTGCTTGATGAACGACAACGAAAATTAAATGAAATCATTGAACGTGGAAAACAATTAAAAGCTATTAAAGATAACATTGTGAATATATTGATTATTGATTTGATTATCAAAAAATTGTTTTTTGTTATTTTTCTCTAGAAAATCGATAGCTCGAATGATGAGCCTGATGGAATGTATTTTTGTATTTTGTGTAATCAAGAAATTACTCAAAAAGCTTATACACGTCATATTGATAAATGTTTTATTCGAGTAAAGATATTTTGTTTGCTACTGTGTTTGTGTTTTGCAATTAACTTATTTTGTTTAGTTTGAAAGTCAAGTATCATATGGATCAAATGTTAAATCTAATATTGAAGGTTTATTTTGTGATAATTATGATCGTACAAATAATCTTTATTGTAAACGACTTAAAGTTATTTGTCCAGAACATTCGCGAGATCCAAAAGTGAAAAATAACGATGATATCTTCTTTCATTTCTTTTCATATTTGAATTCTATGAATAGATTGGTCCAGATGAAGCATGCGGCTGTCCATTAGAGAAAGATTTATTTGAAGTATCAGATGAATTATGTACAGTTCCAAAACGATTATGTTCAAAACATTTTAAATGGGATCGAAAACATCGTGCTCAAATTGATCTTGAACGATTACATGAAGTATTATTATAGTAATTTTTTCATAACTATATTAAATAATATTTTTAGTTAATGCGTTATGAAGAACTTGTTGAAAAAGAAAATCGATTACGAACAGCTATGAATGAACGAGGTTCAGTAGCAGGACTTCTTTTACATAAAACAACGGCTCATTAGAAGAACTATAGATAATAGTTGTTTTTTTTTTCTTTTGTGTTTCTATGTATGTATTCAAAATGTAAAGTTGCTTTAGTTTTCTTGCGTTTATTTGATTGATTATCTGAAAATAAAACAATACGTATTATATCGAATTACAGATACATATGCAGAAATTAATAGGTTATGCACTTGCATTTGGAGCAGGTATTGGTGCTGCGAAATTCTTACAATGGTCTCCAGTAGGAGGTCAACATCATCATGGAGAACAAACACCTGGATCAAAGATGACAATCAAAGGTATCATACAAAAGAAATATTTCGAACGATAAATGAATTTTTATTTTTATATAATTATTGTAGGACATATTCTTGATATGGGTGCTCGCATAGCCGTACGTATATTTTTATTAGTGTATATAGTTAGAGAAGAAATTTTGTGAAACAAGATCTAAAAAATGTGTTGCAGTATAAGAGTAAAAATGTGGACTAAATTCTTCTCAGAGATGATGACAAACTTTAATATACGATCATAGACTACATATTGATAATATCTTGTTACGTATATGAACTACTTTCTAATTGCTTCTGTGGAGGATTAAATGAAAGGATGGATGGTGAAAAAAAATGTATCCCAAAACAGATAGGATAAAACATTCTCTTTGTAACTAACAACTACATCGTGTTTCACATTTTAATACTGCAGGAATTACGATAACAGTCTTTTACTTCTAGGGTCATTTTGCTCCAATAAATACAATTCATCAACATGTGTGTGGTTTTCATTTTTATTCTGGTAAAGATTTCTTTGTGCATTTTTAATTTGCATTTTGGATTATAGGTGAACTCAATCGTCAATTGGTTGCTCATCACTATTGTTCACATATAAATCAAGATGTTCGTCAATGTGTTATTTATGATAGTGATCGTGCGGATGCACGTCTTATTGGTGTTGAATATATTATTTCTGAAAAACTTTTTAATGAATTACCAGCCGAAGAAAAAAAACTATGGCACTCACATGTATATGAAGTTAAAAGTGGTGCATTAATTGCACCAGGTGTGCCAGATATAGCCGAAAAAGAAGTCATGAAAGAATTAATAAATACATATGGAAAAACTTTTCATAGTAAGTTCTTAATGATTAGAAAGAAAATAAACGATTTATGAAATATTTTTATTAATAGCATGGCAAATTGATCGTGGAGATCCTATTCCTCTCGGTGTTCCACAATTAATGATGGCATTTGTAAAAGATGGACAAATAAATGAAGATTTAATACATCAACGAGATGAATATTATAAGCTTTCAACAGAAGGGAAGAAACGTCAACGGGAAGATATTAAAGCTCCAAACGATACACAAGGAGCTGATGCTTGGTCTAAATCAGGCAAAGCCGTGCAATTAACAACCACTGAATCGAAAATGAAAATGACCAAATAGTCATTTTTTAATATTTTATTTTGAATTTCTTGCTATTATTATTGGTTATTTAATCTTGCAATTTTAGTCAGAAAAAAATTTTATGAATAGTTCGATAACTACTGTTGATATTTTATTTATTTTTTATAATTCATAATAAATATTCTCGCATGCTATATCGACTTCTCACACTTTAAATAGAAGATAATGTTTTGATCTGAAACGATACCCATGGAGATACCATTGTGATGAGCTATTGTTTTAAGTAATAAATTCGAATATGAATTATATTTTAATGGTTGTCCACGAAACATGATAGAGATGTATGATGAGATAAGCAAGATGATTGGTCCAACTATGAAGAGAATAAATCACATTCATATCTATTTTGTTTTGTGAGTTTCTTACAAAGTTTTCATCAGTATGACATAACATGAAGCATCGCATTCGAGAATACAGTGGCGCACAAATAGTCCAGAATAATCGAACATTTATATATACCGACTGGAGTACGTTTTTATCCATGTTGCATAGTTAATACATAATCATGACTCTTTGTTTGGTCTTACATTACAACAGTTCAAACATGTTGGTCTTTTGTTAGCTGAAAGCATAGTATTGATAATGCTATCTAACAATGTATAGTAGAACTGTTCAATTTTAAATACTGGCAGTTGGTTATATAACTAGATACATCAATATCTCAAAATCAATTAGATATTATTCATAACATACACAATGATTTCAATAGTTTTTGAAACATGACGAAAGAAAATAATACATTATGTACAAATGTTCTATTTTATCTAAAATTCAATGGTCAATTGAACTGATTACGTAAGACTAGATCAATTTTGCGAGTACTGTATTTCTTTTATTTTTTTCAACTATATATAGTACGAACAAAATCACAAGCAAATTATCAGTCGAATCGTTTCGTTAAGAATACAATAACATCAAATATGAGCAAAATGATTCACCATGTGTTTTTTTCATGTAAGGATACTATAAGAAAAAAAATTACGATACTAAATCGTGTAAAACGAACAAATTAGTGAACATCATTGTTCATTCATTCTATTTTCTTGACTATTGAGATAAGCTTTTCATTGAAGCTTTGGAGTTCAGTAATTCTGCAGCACCATTAATAAGTAGAATCAATGAAAATGCCGTATTTGGACTTGATATTGTTCTATTCAAAATATACGAACATATGATATAGTTTGTATTTGATGTGCAACTTAAATACTCATATTCAATTTTACTTCTTAACGAAAGGAAGCAAATTGTGGACGATTAATATGGAAACAAACCGTCTCACATATCTTTTTATAATACCTCGCAGCAAAGATACAAAGCAGATACATAAGTTCAAGACAAAAAAAATCCATAACCCATGAAAATACAAGAAAGCTATCTGTTTTACATTGTTTTGATCTCTTAGTTCGTAGCTTGAATATAGGCAATTCAGATTTAGTGAAAAGAATTGTCACTGTTGAATATATTGTTCTTAGTTCACTTTTGTTAATATGCATTATCCATCGAACAGCAAGTTACCGAACATGTACCAGGAAATTGTATACCAAAACAAATTCTTGCGTCATTTAACTTTCCCTAATATGCTATATTCCTGCATAGTTGCACATTGATTTTCTCAAAACATCAATAATTCGAACAAACAGAAAACATTTAGAAAGAAAACGTTGACATACTCTTCGAACTAATTCTGTGTGTCCTATTGTTTGCACAGCTATTTAGAATGAAGGGTATAAGAGATAGAACAATAGGTCTATTTCTTAACTAATCTCTATACCTCGGCCTGATCTTCTTTGTTGTCATTTTCGTTGTTTCCACAGTTAGTACTTTGAGAAAAAAAAGCACATGACATGAACATGTGTCACCGCAATAATTGAAGAATTATTATTAAAATAGCATAATGTAGATCAAATTGCATTTGTATTCGTTTCATTTTAGAACAAAATTATATCATGAAAACTACAGAAAACCAAAACAATTTATTATGATAATGAATAAATAGCAAAAAAAGAAATGAAACAAAAAAGATTTTAAGAATGTTCAATTTTGGTTGAATGAAAAATATGGTCAAGCCAATTTTGTTGTTGATACATTTGTTCATGATAATCGTCTCGTTGATAATGAAGATTATCGGAACTAATATTAAAGAGTGATAAATTAGGTCGAAGTGAATATCGTGAATAATTATCTTCATCATCATTATCTTCATAAGTATACTTGTTGTACATGTTTACATGTCTAGGTTGTTGATAGTAATTTCCTGGTGTACTATTATCTTTGTAAAGAATTTGTGCGATAAGTTGTGGTGATTGACGACGAATAACAGGAACACTTTTTGGAGCGAATAAGGTATCCTAGAAAAAAAAATATAACTAGAGCAATCGTAGAAAAAATAAATAGTTTACCTTTGGGATCGATCGCTGCTTTGGTGCGACTTTATTCGATTTCTTCAATAATAGTTGCCGTTTCTTGGATGAAAATGAAAGTGTGCGAGTAATACGAGAAATAAATTTTGTGAACGAAACTGAAGATGAACATTTTTGATTCTTGTCAGAAGACATGTTCGAAATTGAAGAGTGAATTGGAGAATGTGACGAAATGGTGAATGGTCACGGATAATATTAAGTTTGTTCTAACAAGCTTAAACTGATTGTTTAAGATGATTACGAATTGTGTTCTTTTTTTTGTTTGAATATTGGGATAAATTGGCTTAATTGACTCATTGCTTTTTTTGATCGTCTTATTTTGACTGAATACAAGTTAGTAAATTAGCCAAAGAAAAGATCAAAAAAGAAATTAGTGAATGACAAGAACAGATAATAATAATGACGTACACATGAATTCGAAACGTAATCATTCAATAAACAATAATATGTTGACATCATCAAAATCTCTTTATAATATCAAGTATTAATGTGAATGGTTAATTCCGTTAAAAATATAGTCAATAAAAGATTTCATTGAGTATATGAAATAATAAATATGTAAAGAATGTGTTCATGTTATTCTTAAAAAATATTAAAATAATTAAGAACAACATTATGTGATTCTGGTCATATAGAATCATGTCGATTCTCATCAGTTTGATTAACTAGTGTATATCATTATTTAGCCTGACTGTCGCGTATAGGTAAAGTTTTATTGTCATTCAAAATGTAATGATTGATAGCAACATATAATTGAAAAAGTTTTGAAGATTTTCGTTTTCATTTTATTAAAGCAAAAAAATACATTGATTCTCGTCATTATTCAGAAATGATAATCAACTGTTGCGAGCTGTTAATAAATCTGAGAGTTTGATTATGCATTTTCGAAAATATCTTTTTGCCTTTATTATGTAGTAATGAAATCCAACAAAGAGTAAATCGACTTTTGCTTGATGAAAAGAAAGACTGTCAAAAGAGAAATGACACACAAATACTTTTGTTCTCACGAAGTTTTATTAATTGAAAAAAGTCGAATAACACCAGTGTTCATTTCGAAAAAAACCGTCAAATTTTGTACTTTTTTTTTCTTTCGTCATATGTTCAAACGAACGAACAAGTAAATAAATACAGCCGAAATTTTGATGATCAAATGAATATCTAATTGTGTTGAAATAATGTTGAAGTCTTTAGAAACAACATTAATATGTTCAATCAGTTTACAATTGTGACGAGCCTACTTTGCCTGAAGATGATCATATATATGAACGAACAGCTATTACAGAAGAAATTAATCTTAATGGAAAGGGTCCTCTTACACGAGTACTATTGATTATTGATCCTCTATATCCAAACTTTATTACAAGAAAAGTAGTAGATGATTTTTGAAAATAATATTCAAAGTAAAAATTAACAGTTTGAATTGAGTACTGGTATTCAACGAGATTAACGAGTACTTTTTCAAACATTTGACAAAGAAATTTACAAGACTGAATGAATTACTCAAGACCAACGACCATCAATTATCACATTACAAATTGGTGCAGCACATGCTCAAAAGAAAACTTGATTCTATATTAAACTCAGTCGATATCCACACATTGTACGCACATATGAAGTTGTTGAAGATGTGATATCAAATATTACATCAGTTATGTTATTACAAAAATATGCACCTGAAGAAAGACTTTTTGAAATTTCGTTTGATCAACAAGAGTTATCTAATGATAAAAATTCTTCAAGAAATATTTAATCAAATTAGTGATGCCATGATTTTTTGTTTTGAGAAGATAATGAAGAAAGAAATTGGTTCCTATTAATTGTTTTCTTGTAGTCTAAGTCGACACAGTTCAATTTTTTCCTCAGTTATTAGTGCTACTTCAATAACTACGATTCATGTTAGTTATCACTAGATTGAAATCAATGATAGTTTTTGTTAATTAACATTAGATTGTTCCAACATTTATAACCGTACTTGAAATCCTTCAAAACAGTAGCCCAGCAGCTCATATTGAAAAACCCGATATGCATTCAATGGGTATGCCGATAATTGAAGTGTATAATCAAGGTGCCATGCATTGATCTGATATTTTCAATGATAATGATGTTCGTACACAAGTTATAACTGGTAACCGTCCTTCACGTTCTACAGAATGTACAAATAAACTTTGGGCAATAATTATTAGTTGTCTTTCTGAAATATCGACTGAAAGATCTAAGTTTCATGGGTTACGAAACATGTTGACTGATTCTACAGTAAAATAATGACGATTACACAAAAGTCATTGTAACTAATTTGTAATTTAAATAAACAGAACAATCCAAATACAACGAATTAGACGATAACGACATTACCTTCAGCTTCAACACAAGTTACACGGTAGAATAGATCATCTAGCATAAGACAACAGAGTCATACACCAAGCGCTCGTAACTGTACTAGTAATGCAATCATTTCATCATTACTGCTGATTTACTGTTTGTAATTCTACCGTCAACACTTCGTGTTCTTCCACCTATTTCACGTAAATCGAATCCAATATCATTGATACTTACAACAGATTCTAGAGCACGTCTATGACTATCAAAGTAGACTGAAACTGCAATGAACAGATATGCCAATTTGTTTTATTTTTTCTACAGTAGTACTATGGGAGCCAGTTATAATTATTGTGGACATATGTACACTTTAACAGAATTCAGCCAACACGAAGTCAATTGGAACATAAAAAATAAATGATTTTTTTTCTCATATCTAATTGTATATAACATAGTAGAATAATTGTACTCGTAATGCAAGAAATTAAAACCTATCACTTACTGTACAATCTTCAATACTTATTCAATATCCTTCTTCTTCTCTCTTCCTCGCACACCTTCTCAAATAAATATAAATCCAACTATGTCGCCACATAATCCATTTGCTTCATTATAATCGTTATCATCATTTGATGCAATAGATGACTATCAGCAAGATTTATTCGTTTCATTGCTGCCGTTTAATATCTCCTCCAGCAACCATAACTCAAACTACAGAACAATCAAAGTCGAAAATAAAACGTAAGAACGTATTATGACAAATAAAACTACCGAGTATCTATAAATTATCTTAGATGTATTGAATATTTAGAAATGATTTATCTTTTTTGTTTTTTGTTGATATTAGAAACTTTAAATGTATCAGTTGCATGCATTAGTTCAAGGACTAATGCTGCTAATGGTCAACCATCTGACGTACGTCAGGTTATGCTCGTCAGTAATCAAGCTAAATCATTAGAAAAAATTGAAACATCTATTATTTTGAGCATTTCATGTATTCAAGTATCTGATAATGGTTGATCATCACGTGGGACATGATTATTAACACCTATTAACTTCTACACATACACGTTCGACTAGTTATCATCGTGGTAAAGCCAAGAAAGATGTCTATATAAATGTTTACCGTTTGTGCAGCTGAAAAAACAAATGGTATGGAATCAGTTGAAATTTCTGATACCAGTATGAATATTGATATATTTGAACTTGAATGTAGTGGATGGATTTAATTCAATTTATGCAAGTATGTATATCAAAGAACTTAATACTATTATTAATGGTTTTTGTCAAGTGCATCTAATGAGTACAGCTAATACCGATAAATTAACATTGATGGTAGTAGTAGATTACATGGTTTTGATTTACGAACTAGAATAACTAATATAAGTATTCATGGTAATTGTTATGCTGAAATCAATTGTGATCAAACAACGACTGTCTATCTTTCGAATGATGATGACGAAGGAAGAATTAAATACAAAGATAATGCAAGTTTAAATTCATTGTACTTGAAAATAGTTCACAGAAATGGAAAGTCGTACTCATCCAAGACATAAGTCTAACAGTAAAGTAAGATGTGGTATTGTTACCAACATCATGTCTCAAATACAGTTCAGTATAGCATAAGAAAAAGAAATTATCTATAATTAATTCAAACCGTAGTTTGAAAACGAAACCATTGTCTATAGGAGTTAATTTTAGTGATACAAATGTCTCATACTTCAACTATTAATCATTAGTTTTCTTATTCTTTTGTAATTTACATTGAATCTATCCAACAGAAACCAAAAAAAGAAAAAATAACAGAAAATCAACATCTGTATGACGAGTTTTGAAGATAATTAACATAGAAAAATTGATTAAAAGATTGATTCAAAAGTTACTAAATAAATCTATTACTTCTTTCAATTGATTAGCTCGATATTGTTCATTTTCAATTTTCTTTTTATATAAATCAATAATATTTTTTTTTATTCCTTGAGTTTGTTCTATCATTAATTTAAAAAAAGAATTTTTTTCTTTCATTTGTTCAATATCTTTATTCATATTATCACAAATATTTTTTAATTGAATAAATAATTTCATACTATCATCATGATGTTCTTTATTAAATTTGTTTTTTTTATTTTCATAAGAATATTTAATTAAATTTAATTGTATTTTTTGTCCAAATTGAAATGCTTCAATAATATGTTTTAATCGACGAATTTGTTCCGAAACAGAATACTTTATAGTTTTATTATCTTTATCAAGTAAATTTTTATTCGTACGAAATAAATCGATACGACTTGGTGAAATATATTTTCGAAGTATTAATTTATTTTCATTGTAAAAATGTGGTTCATCAAGTATAGCACAATCAACACTATTTGCTTCAATGAAACCAATTAAAAATGCTCGAGAAGGAATTATAATTCGACATGATGTAATTCTACCATATTTACTAAAATATTTTTTAATATTTATTTCATTAAATTGTTTATCATCATTTGAATTATCTAATAATACAACTAATTCATTTGATGACATAAAACGTTCAAATGCAGGACGTGTACATGGTAATGTATGACGAAGAAATAATGGTTGATTATTAAATTTTATTCGTTGATTATTTTTTATAATAGAATTTATATCAACAGATGAACCGTATGTTATGATTGCAGCTGCACTATTACGTAAATATGTTTTTGGAAAAAATGTATAACTTTCAATAATACCAAATTTTGAAAAATATGAACTGAAAAATAATTTTAATAAATCTTCTTGCAAAGATTTATTTAAACTTACATTAAATCATCTTCATTAGTTATATCAGGAATATTGTTTATATATATATTGCATTGATTACGATTCATTTTTTCTTAAAAAATAAGTTTCATCAAATAAAGTTTATTAATTTTTTTGACTTTTGTTTCTTTATTTATTATACAAAACAAAAGAAAAACAAAAAGTAGCAAAACAAGGATAGATTTCCATATGGTGTTCAAGCTCACCGGCAACAAGAACAACAAATAGACATCAAGCAGTAACAAAAACTGTTCAAGACAAAATAAGATTATTTTTCAACATACACAGACATTATATAATATATAAATCGATTTGAAAAAAAAAAGAAAACAATCCAACAATGGACGGATGAAATTAATTAGTAATTTATGAAGGTTGATTGACAATTTGAGCAACTATTTGTAAGTAATAATGAAAATTATTCAAAGAAAAAATTTTCTATCACGTACTGTCAATTGTATTATTATTATGATCGACTTTTTCTGACTGAGTAACTAGTAAAGTAATATTATTTCATAGACACATTTAATTGAAGAATACTTACACTCTTGAGACATTGTAGTTGTGCTTGTTGTTGGAGATGAAGACGATAGAGTATCAACAACTAAATAGTAAATATAATGCGCTAGAAAATATTTTTTTTATGAACTCCAAGTATAAAAGCTACTAGGGCTGCCTTGACAGGATTAAAATCTGAAACACTATGTGATTGCTATTCACAAGGAGATTATTTTATTCTATCTGTTTTGGAAGGTATTCCTTCATCATATTTATTTAGTTCTCCGCAAATGTAATTAAAGAAAGTACTTCCCATATTATAACAAGACGTTATCGATACACGGCTTGTGATGTAGAGAACAGACGTTGCTAATGATATCTGTCCCGTCTGCAATGTGTCGTTGCTAAAATGTCTGTCATAAACAGTTGTTAAGAACTATCTGTCTGGTCGATGAGAGTAGGTTCAAAGTTCTAACTCTACAGGTCAATACTTCTTTTAGATCGTGTTTCACAAAAGCAAGCTATTCTGACTGACATTTAGTGAACAATGTTGTATAAATTTAACACGTCGGTTACAGGATTTTTTCCAAAGATGGGTAAAAATGTGAATTTGCTTACAAGAAGCCTAGAATCGGACATATACGACAAATGAAAATAGAAGATTGTTGATTTTATATCATAATAGAGATAGAATATACCTTAGAACGAAATACACGATTGAATATATCACCCTTATGATGGAAAAACAATTTACGCTGATAGAGTGGAATTATTCAAACTTTCTTTCATAGAACACTATTCATGGACTATCCTGTATAATAATGCTGTGATGTTAAAGTAACAATAAATAGTGAGAAGAATGTAAAATTTATCATCTACATAAATGTTCACCCCTAATATATATATAGTGTTCTGTAATTATGTCATGGAAAAAAAAACAAAAATCTCGATGAATGTTCAGCCATCTGGTAGTCATAGTATGGCTAAGCTATTGATTAAAATGTCATTTTTGTCATTGTCTATTTTCAATAAGAAGTAATCAAACAAAATATCTCGATGTTTTCTATCAAGAATTTTATTTTTATTGAACTTACCCTTAGGTTTTGTAATAATACTCTGTTGTAATTGATTGCTATCAACAACTGATGGTTTTAAATGTAGGGTTTCTAAATATAGAAATAAGTTCATGTTTAAATAATTCTTCCAAAAAAAAGTTTACCTTTTGTGCATTTACATGAATCTATTTGATTGCGTAGTTTATTAAGATCTGATTGTAATGTAGTAACAATTGCTGATACCTATTAGAAATATATGTATTGATTTTTTTTGTCAAACGAAAATTCATATACTTTATCTGATGAATTATGCACGAGATCAGTTAATTCTTGAAAATGTACAACTAGTTCTTGTATTTTTATACTTTGATTAAGATTTTCAAGTTCATTCTTATATGAAAAAAAAAACAAAAAAACAAACTGATTATTAGTTTTTAAATTTTCTCTTTTCAAATATAAAAGATTTTACTCGAAGAGATTTTAATTCATCATGCCATTTAGCAACATTTATAGATAAACTTTCATTCAATGAAAGAAGAGTTCTTGATAGTTGATTTGTATCCTAAATATAAAAAAAAAAAAACAAAATTGATTAAGACAAAAAAAAACATGTATGCTATCGTTTAACTTTTTGAGTGTTTGTTGTTCGTTCTTGTTCAAGTAACTGTTCAATTAAATTTCTATCATATGGTTTCATTTTTTCATTGATAATATTTCTTGCTTCACCATCAGCATCACGACTTAATTTCTATTACAAAAACAAAATACAAAAAGAACAACAACATTTAATAAATAATTTCTTACATCTAATTCATTAGCAACTTCAGAAATTTGTGTTGATTTCTGTTCAATATTTGTTAATTTTGATGCAATGTCAACATCATCATCACCACTCATTAATGTCTAAATTAATAAATTTTATAAAAATGAAAAAATAAATAAATAAGCTTAAAAAAAAAATACTTCATCTGCTGGTGATTTTTGTTTTATTTGAATAAAATCTCTTTGTAATTTTTGTAATCGATCATACATATATGATACATTCCAACGTTCAATAAGATTAAGACGAGTTTTTATTTGTTCAATTGTTGATAATATACGATTGACTTCAAAATTTGAGAATCGTTTTTCAACTAAAAAAAAATCATTATTTAGGTATTCAGGATGAGATTCGTTTTTTTTGCGAAGCAAAATAATGCTATTAGCAACCATAGTACTTTAATCTCAGATTCAGGTTGATGAATGATTTGTTTAACCCTTTGACGACTGAGTTTGGTTGTAAAGAGATGCTACATAATGGTTTTGTTTTCTGAAAAGCCTAATATGAAATGTATACACGTAGAGAAACAGTGAATTTCGTGAAGAATCAAAGTTTATAAGATTCTGTTATTATAATATAGATCTTATACAATCTAACATCTGATGATCTATATCATCAGAGCTATATTAGTAACAAAAAGTTTCGTTGAACGATAATGGTTTTCGAATTTTACGTAATATTATGAAATTCTATTTTGTTTCATGTAGTTCTAAAATATCTTGTATATAGAGATCCCATAGACTCTCAAATACTTTTAAAATCAAAATTTCTTGTTTCACATTGATATTACAGCATGCAGGTGTGACGTGTATGGATTTGATCTTCTCACGGACTACACTCTAACTGGTTTGTTATTTGTTGTGGTAATAAAAAGATGATCTGACATAAAACTTAATCAAGATTGATCAACTGATTTATCGAGTACTGTTTTATTTGTCTTTCATCCACTCTTGTTCTAATAAATAAATTTGATTCAATTGAAATTGCTCATCTTTTTTTCAGTTTCCATTAAAAAGACTTCTGATACTTTTATCGACATTTCTACTTTTGATCAAAGTTGAGATGATCGAAAGAAAATATATAGGCAAAAAATATTTGTGCTTAATACAAGTTATTCGATATTGATATCAATATTTCTGTCTTCCTCTTTGTCGATTTCTTGGTAATTATTTGCATTCTTAATATGATCTATAGGTTTCTTTGACATAGGATCATTGGTAATAAGCTGTCTCAGCATCTATGAGTACTTTGTTTTCTGGCCATCTCTCACATAATAATAGTCAAGATCAACACTATTGCTAGAGAGCATTTACTTTGTATATCTATCTCTATTTCTTTAATAACTACGCAAATAAGAACAATTCATCAAACTTGTATTGGCAAACGATAACTACTACGTATAAAGTAAATATTCAAAGAAGAAAAACTTTAAGAAATACGTCATACTGTTATAAAAATATCAAGATAAGACAAATGTCACAGATGCATAAAATGAGTCATCCATTCTATTCATTAATAGTTGCCGTTTTTCAAATTACAGTTAATAATAAAAATTTGTGCTCTCTACATGGCCATAATCTTAATATATAATAAATATCTTTTATTGCATATAAAGAAAAATAGAAAAGAGCAAAACTTCAACCTGAATTTGACACCATAGGACTATAGCTATAGTAAATTATTTTTCAATTCTCATCAACGCTATGGAACTGTCTAAGACTGACGATGTGGCGCATATGTATTTCACTCGTACCAAATCATAGAGATATGTCAGTTAGACCAATGATAAATAATATACTTCAATAGATCTGCATTGTTTCGGGACGAAAAACGTCAATATGCATATTCCGTCTCGAACGGGTTAAAAGAATAATGATAATTTATACATTTATTCTTACTTTCAGTAACACGGGATGATAAATTTTGAACTTCAGTTTTCAATTCAATATTTGCATAAGCTAATCCAACACTATACAAAGAAAACAACTTTATGAAAATGTTATTAAAAAAAAAATTTACCAAACAATCATAAAAATACACACAAGACAAAAAGAAAGTATGTGTCGAGTATAGCTACACCATCGTCGATAACGTGTTAGATGTCTATGAAAAATAAACAAACAATAGTAATAATAATAATTATTATTATTCTTTTTTTTTTGTTTCTATTGAATTTATTTACACTTTAGTAGAAGTACTTTTTTTGTTAGATAAAAATAATTCTTCTTCTGAACTAAGAAGAATTTCATTTGATAATCGATTGCTGAGACGATTGGATTTTGATGTTGATGAACGAAATTTCAATAAAGCATCAAGTTGTTTACGTTTTTTCATTTTTTTATTACAATGACGTGGTGGATTATTATAAGGTATACCAGTTTCTAAATCATTGATAAAATCATCCATGAAACGAGAATTATTTTGATCTGATTGATTTGGTGAATTATCATGTAATTTAATTGTCGTAGGATACATTTATCTTTTGAAGCTAATTAAACAATCGTTTTTGATCGATTGAATCAAATGAAAAAAAACCAAAAACATCTGAAGAATAAAAAAACAGTGAAGCATGTCATTTATATCGATATATAATAGATGCGAAAGTCAACAATGCAATTATTCAATTGGCTTTTTTATCTATTATTCAATGAAGCCTATTAGAATTCTAGATGATTATTTTTAAATTTTACTTAAAAGAAAAAAAGATGTCTGTTTTTGAAAAACATTTTGGGTAATAATTTCAGCTAGGATTTCTTGTTCTTCTTCTCTACTTCCATTATTAAATATCTATGGCCATTAGCCAATAACAAAAAACCTAGAGGACAGCAGATACTAATATAAAATAGATGCTTGTTAACATTAAATTATGACTTATTGTAAAAGTTCAGCATACGAATTATAAATTTGTTCGTTCATAAAATGAAATATTTTGATTAAGAAAAAGTAGATTTCATAATTATACATCAGACATCATTTCTTAATTTAAAACATGAATTCAATATTTTTCTTTTACAAGCTATCAGTGGTTTTTTGGCGGCGAGAAAAAATAGATCGATAAAATAGAGATTCTAGACACTCAATATTAGAGTCTGTCAAGTCCAGTTTTTTCGACTCGAATTTGAATGAATCCAGGAGCAATTCGATGGGCCTTCTTCAGTATGATCATATCATAGTTAAAATACAGAATGTCCGTTGGAAAGAATATCTGATCTTAACGACATGAATGTATAACGTTTTTTGATTTATGCGAAAAAACTTTTCTCTCGCAAATAATTCTAGTTATTTATTTCATATGAGACTAAGAACCAATTAAATAAAATATTTGCAATTTTTTACCACCTCTCTACTTCGTGTTTCATAATAACAGTATTCACCTCTTTCGGGAGTAGAATCAAAAGTATCTCGAAAAGTTCAGAATTGGAGTGATATCGGTAACTTCGCCACAGATCGAACAAAAAGGTGGGATAATCGTGAATTTCGAATGATTCAGATGCGCGAGTGCCAATGGTCTGGTTCTAATTTGCGATAGTCCTTAGAAGAACTAAAATTAATCAAAACTTTGATCACATCGTATTTCAAGTAGTTCCACTGTGAGTCATAGGTTGATAGAATCTTTCATGCCGCTATGATCGAATGTCCCTGGAAAGAGACATTTTCTTAATGAGTCAGTAGGTCTTTTACAATATTACGGCACTGTTCTATCAGATAGCTTGACCTTGTGCTATACAATGTTATGCAAAAAAAAAAAATAATCATGAATAAACAAAATTTTCAGAATATATATGACACGTATTATTTGTCCGTATTTATCAGATTCAATAACATTTCCTTGACAATCACATTCAATATGAGTTTTGCTCATACTAGATATTTTTTGTTGTGTTGATAGAAGAGTTTGTTCTCTACAATTATTATAAAAATAGAATTTAGCAATTATATATTCATTATTTGGACGAGTTCGTAAATATAGTTGTCGTATCATTTTATTTCGCATATAACAATGAGTATTATTAGACGTTGAAGCTGATATTGATAAACTTGAATTATAACTATTCATTAAAAAATATCGATTCAAGAAAAAAAATTAGTACTTGGACTTCATACAATATGATACTTACATTTAATAGGGGAAAAAGAAAGGAAAATTTTTCAATTTCTCTGTGATTATAGTTTTGCACATTGGTAATTTCGTTTATTCCGTGAACATATTAAAGTATTTCAAAACAAATTTGACTTCATATAATGATATATAATCTGTATCATTTTTACTCAAATATTTTTTTAATGTGAGATATGATATTTATTGATGTTGTTGCATTGCTACAGAATTTCTTCTTATTTATGTCTGTGTTTCATGATGAGATTAATGTTCTTACAATGATATTAAAACATATGTATGACATTGAGAGGAAAAAAAAACAACAAGAATAAATTTTAGTAAATTTATTCTTTTTATAGAAACTTCAGCAAATGAAACCAAAATAAATAACCAATCCCTTCAGATTGAAAGTTTTTTTTTTCATTAGTGATAGAGAACAGATTAGAAAGGCATAATATAACAAAAGCTTCCATAGCATTGTCTAGTCTTCTTTTATTAAATCAGAAAGGCGTAGAGAGGGAGAAATAATATGAAGTTATAGTAAATCTTATTGAAACAACCTTCATCTATGGAACATCAATAAAGAAAAGCAAGAGAGAGGGAGAGGGAACAGAGAGAGAGAAAATATGACTGACATGGTAGTCAAACAGTAGGAGGCTTTGTTTTTATGCTTAAACTTCATCTATTTCTATTACTCAGAACTTTTTTTCAATTTCGTATACATTATTTTATTTTTATTATTGACAATAACATCTATACAGTGACTTGAAAATTTTCAACTGTCATCAATGGGAACTACTTATGACTATACATATGAATATGAAGTAACAGATAAAAATAGACATCATCGTACTACTGGTGGAAATGCTGAACATTATACTCAACGAGCAGTTGGACATCAACCGCATTATGGAGTATCTCTTCCACATGCAAGTCGTACAGATATGATGGATTCATTAGCCAATTTACAACATGATCGTATATGGCACAAACTTTATGATCCACTTGATATGCATAAAGCAACACATGAAACTGAAATTCAGGTTTGTTTATCTACCTTTATATCTAGCAAAGATAATCTCAATTCTATCAATTTTATTATTAAAATAAAAAGAAAACATATGTTCATATACACCACCGCTAAGATAATAATGACGATCATTGGTTGTTTCGTGTTTTTTGGATTTTTACGGTACAACATGAAAAAATTTTCAATATCATAGAAAAAAAAAATGTTTTTGATTATAGATACAAATAGTACAAATAAAACAATATGATAAAATTTGAACATAATGATGGTTTTATTAGATAATCGGCTAGATACATTGATTAAAATCTTTAGAATTGCATGATTTCCTTTCTCTTTTTTCTTTTTTCGGGAACTTATTTTTGTGCATGATTGGTCGTCACGACAATCAGCAACATGAATAAACATTTTATGTAACTAAGTGACAGTAAAATGTTGAAAGGAAAAGAAAAAAAGGAGAGAATACGGGCAAAACCACACTATTGTTGATGTTTCTTTTTCTTTCTGCTCCGGTTAGTTGTCACCTTTTTTTTTTTGTTCGTTCACTTTGGTCGTTCGTCCACATAAAACAAACAACAATATGATTACAACTAAAAAAACAAAAAGAGAAAAATCGTTTCTTAGTAAATTTGTACCATGCCAGTTTTTGTGCGATGTTTCTACTATGAAAGAAGGAAAGAAAAAAAAGAAGAAAGAGCAATTGAGTAGACGAAAGAACTCGTTTTGTTCTCTCTCTCTCTTCGCCTGTTGTTCGCCTAAATTAAAGACATATTTGAAAAAAAAACTGCGAAGAAATCGAATAAATACAGATAGGTATGTAAAAATTGAAGTAAAACACCTGTGATTTGAATATCACCAATATGCATACAGACACACATACTAAAACTTCACCATGTACATGTTTTTCACCGAGTATGCACAAAAACCGTATGATCACGTAGGCCATGATTTGAAAATTCATTTCTGATTTTTTTTTGTTCGGTTATACAATTGTAATTGGGTATGGCCAGCTAACTCTGCTACCGGAGTGAAATTCCGTAGCGTTTTTCGCTCATTTTGTTTTCTCGATAAATATCAGGCAGTAGCACGTGAAGAGTTGCGAGACGTCTTAAATTAAATAGAAAAGTCTTGTACATATTTTAAGATATTTTTCGCTTTTGGAACATTTGTCGTTTCCAAGATATAACAAAAGAATTGAACACCACTTTTGCAAAAGTAATAATTTTCAGAATCGAAAAGTAGTTATCAGTTTTTTAATTATACCTTGGAAACGACAAACGTTCCAAAAGCAAAAAATATCTTAGAATATGTACAAGACTTTTCTCTTTAATTTAAGACGTCTCGCAACTCTTTACGTGCTACTGCCTGATATTTATCGAGGAAACAAAATAAGCGAAAAACGTTACGGAATTTCACTCCGGTAGCAGAGTTAGCTGGCCATACCCAATTATAACTAATTTTTTTGTAAAGAAAATGGCTCGTCGTCAAGATCGTAAAGTGATTAAAATTGAGGCAGCCTATGGATCAGACCGTCAAACATTTATTGTTAAACGGAATTATGATTTACGTGTACGTGATGTTCAAGAAGATGCAGCAACAACATTTCGAATACCTATTGATCAATTAATTCTTTATTGGAAGGTAAAATGTAATATTTATAATTCGAAATAATTTTATTTTAAATATTTAGGGTCGAAATATTTGTGATACACCTAATGAATTTTTGGAAACATTAGGTATTGAAAATAATCATACGATGCGTGTCTGTCGAGGAGATGATCCTGCACAACAAAATAGACAACGAGAATTACGTTCTTATGCTACAATGGATCAACAATATTCATCATCAAATGATATTTATAGACAACAACAACAACAACAGCAACCCTATTACCCTCAATATCAACAACAAGTTTATTCAAATTATCCAACAATGTATGATCAACAACAACAGCAACAATATATGGCTAGTCCACGGTAAATTTTTTTTTGAATCTTTCAATCTATTCTTCTTCGTATAATAAATCTAAAAACAAAATTTTAAAGAATGAGAACTATTTGAAATTCGAATTCAAAAAAAAACAGAAAAGAAAAATTCGAATTCAAAAACAAAACAGAAAAGAAAAATTCATAAAAAAATTATTTCTATATTTATTAAATACAGTTTGTACTGTAATTGTACTTGTGCTCACGGCAATTATAACAATTGTAATTGTTGTTGTCATCATGGATCGTAAGTTTCTTTTTCTTTGTTTTCCTATATACAAGAAAAATCAATAATCTTCAATTGTCTCCTTTTCCATACCTATTATCCTTCGCTTTAGGCATTTTCACTATCGTCCAATTTAAAAACATAAAATACATTTTTATTCCATTGATTTTTTTTTCTTTTAAAAATAAACATCAACCTTTAATTCACCTGCTATAGGCTATCGACTAACTAAACCTTTTTTTAGCGCTAACTATTATCAACAATTGACTAGTCCAAATATATCGGGTCCTGTTGCTGCTAGTTATGTAATCAATTTACAAATCGGTTTTGGTGATCGTGTTGAAGGTCTTGTTATTGGTCGACCACACCCAGTAACAGTTTATGATTTACAAGTTGAATTACAACAACGTTTTAACATTCCACTACTTGAACAAAATGTTTCATATAATGGAATGTCATTAACACAATTTCCACCTGATATTTCACTTGATGCAATTGGAATTGTTAATAATTCATTTGTTTCACTTTGGTATAAAAATTTTGTTCCTCAAAATCAACAACTGTCGAATGATTATTATTCTCCAAGACAACAAGTACAAATGCCATATTCTAACGATGGATCTCAAACAGCACGTAGTGATATGTCATCAAGGTAAGAGAAAAAGTGAGAAATGTGTGCGTGTGAATGTTGAACAAAAGTCGAAAATATTAGTTGTTGGCTCTCATGATTTAAAAGGCGAATGGATTTCAACAGCAGCAGTGGAAACGAGACGTTGCCAAATGCTAGTAACCAGGAAGTACTCAAAATTGAAGTATTTCATGGTATGATTATTCAAAAAAAATTCTCCTTTTATCTTGTCTATTTCAAAAGAAAGTTGATTGTGTATTTTCTCTTTTAAGGTTCTGATCGACATGTACTGATTTTACGTAGCGCAAATAATGTACGTATTATAGATTTAATGGAAGAATTACAACGTATAACAACTGTTCCGATTCAAAATCAAAAACTTTATTATCGTGGACAAGAATTACAAATCATCAGAGAACGTTCATTACGTGATGTAGGCATTGATAATAATGCTCAAGTGAGATTAATTGGTGATCCAGTAAAACCAAGATACGAAGCAATGATTACAGGAAATCGAGCTAATTAAAAGAGAAGAAAAAACAGAGACATTTTCGAAGCCATTTTGAACATATCATATTTCTTTATTTTTATTTTCATTTTTTATCAGTTATTCACTTTTGTTCATCCTACCCGTCCATACATGTCCAGAAAAAAAGAGTTTTGTAAATAAAAATATGCAGAAAAAAGATTCAATTATTTATAGTTTTGTTTTTTCGAAAAAAAGTAAATTTTAGAATAAGCACGGTAAATTAGACATTTGCTTTTATATTGTAAGTCAATAATTTGGAAAGCATTATACGTAGTAAGATTTATTCCGTTTTAGAACGGGTCCATCAACTCTTGCCTACATTCCAAAACAAAAAGAAAGTTCCTTGTTCAACATATCGTTCTTAATGGCTGGTAGCCTTTTAGCATGAAGAACAATATTCAAATTTATAATTGGATGAGAGCGTGGTCATGAATAATTCTAACACCAGTTGTTTTTGAATCTTATTATTGTAACATAACGAGTGATATTTATCTAAATCTATGATACGGGAAAAATTAATTATACTATGTATACGAATTATGGCGAAATAAAAAAGTTATTTACAAGAGAACGTTTTTGAATTCGAAATCCGTCCATCAGGTAAACTACAATCATATATGAAAAATCATAAAAGGATAAGTCCACTTAAACCTTCTATCCAAAGTTCTAGTCATTTTACTAAAATTTTAGCCTCTAGCAGTATTCGAATCCTAAAGTGACATAGTGTACTATTTTCTGGAAAACTTTCACTACATTAACTCGAAAAAAAAAGGTATTTGACCATTGAAAGCAATGTATAACTCTTCTCAGAGCGGTATAGCAGAAATGGGATAGTTCATCACGTTGTATTTATATGAATTAAACAGTATGATTCGATCGTTTTATTAAAGCCTATTAACAAGTTACAAAAAAATTGTGCACATAATTTCATTTATCATTATATAAAATTTTTAAAAGTCTATATGATGTCTCTTTTCTTGAACTTTTTTCATCATTTTTTAAAGTACGTGAAAAATATTTTCAATCGAGAACATTTCCAATGTTGTTTTTTTTATGAATGCAACACATTCCAACAGTTGGTGAGGAATGTTAATAGATATGTTTAATATTAAGAAAGACATATCCATCCGATTGATGACAATGTTCTTTGAAATGGAATCGAGTAAGATTTTTTCACATCGTAGATTTCTGGTCATGTTTTCTAGACTTGCCATAAGCATATCATTTGAAGTATAAATTCATGCAGCCATGGTACGATGTTTCATCATACTCGAGTCTATTTTGTGTTTGGCATTAATACGAATGACGTAATATGGCATTGAATGGAAAAGTGATAGTATAAAAGTGCTTCCCCAGTTAATATTAGTAGAAACTAATTAATTTCATTTCAGAACAGAAGATGAACGATTCCAACAAATTTTTCAATAGCCACGATAGTATCACTTTTTTACAAGAATTTTCATAAAAATAACTACACACTCCATCATTATCTATATGACACTTTCAGTACTCAAAGAAGAATTTCATTGTCAACAAACTTGTCTATCAAAACTGATGATGAAAGACCTTCCATCAATCGATTGTAGATATTGCAGCAGTAATTTGAGTTATCTGGAAGGGCAACGGCGAGAAAAATCTCATCTCTACATTTATTCATATCGGTAAATTTGTCATTCTGAAATGGATTCAATAATAGAAAATATGTCAATCTATAGATTGATATAAATATCAAGGTTCTGAACAGCTTGTACGAATCTAAAAGATTGTCAACAACTTTTATAAAAGATAAATACCGAAAGAGAAGAGTCTCATATACATCCACACATGAGTAACCATCTGTTACTTGCATCTCTAATAGACTCCGAGTGGAACAGAGAAGAAACTCTGCGCACTTTGGAAGCGGTTTCTAATTGTATCAAAGTCCCTAAAATTAGACGATCCGACTGTCTCTTCTCAAAACCTTCTTTCATATGCGACTGTTTTTATTCAAGCATGCAAATTTCTGCCAACACCAAGATAAGATGCATCATCTGACTCTCAAAAAGGTTACTTGTGAAAACTGTTTTTTTGAAAGACAAACTCGTCGATATGCACATCACTCATGCAAGTTAGAAAATTTCAACCACACAATTGCTTCTGTGACTAACAGCTACTAGTCATGCAGCGTTACAAGCTTGTATCATTTCAATTAAAAGGTGAGATGCAACCACTATATTTTCATCTGACCATAACGCAAAAGAGACATGCATTCTGTTTCATGCGACTTGAAAATTTCCAATCAACGTATTCTCTGCAGACAATAATGATAAATATAAATATTAGTCAACTATCGTGACTATCGTTTTTATTCATTCAAATAACTGCGAAAACTAAGTATGTAACAATACGTGAGTATGGATCTTCTCCTTACCCTCATCGTCACACTGTGAGATCAAAAAATTTAGATAAAACAATGATTTAACACAATTAATTTTCTGATTTCAAGTCATAATGCCAATATTTCCATTATAGTTTCGGGACTTTTCCATAATTTCACGGCCGGCATCCTCTTTTGATAGTTGTCATTGTGGTGCGGGTGTGTGATTGTTTTAATGATCACTAACACCCATACCCACAATGGTCGCATAAGTGTATTAGTTATCTTGTGTTTATTCTCGAGGCAAGCCGTACTTTTTTACATGTGCCAGCGCTTTACGGTTGAATTCGGGCCTTTTTGAGCAAAACTCGGCTGCTATTTCTACAAAGGAAAAATGGCGACCGGATGAGCAGAGGCAAAACCTAAAGGAAACACTGACCTGTACATAGTACATAATCAAGGTTAGGTTTGTCAATTACACTGATTATGGCTTTCACAATGTCAACCAAGGATACTTTCGGTGACCACAAATTTCTTGTTTGAAGAATGTTCAACGATATTGTACCTGAAAAAGTAAATTGGAAAGATGAGGCTGATGGTGATTAAAATTTGTTTTTGTTTTATGTTTCACTGACCGTCTTTGTCGACATTTGGATGATAGATAGGAGTGAGAAAACGAACTTCAGGTGGCTGAAATGGATATGCAGGATAAAATTCCATTTGAATCCTGTAGGCAGCTTTGTTATAGATCTCGGAACATGGCAATATACGGCCGACAAGAAGACATGGGTCACTTGACAAAGTCCACGCTGCATCTTCATTGAAAGGGCTTTTGTCAACAATGAAAGTGGTCGGTCCGTTTCCTGTCATGCCTAATGACTGAAGCTCTTCTATTTGCCTCCAAAGATATTTTGTTGTTGATAACGGAGAAGTGGTTAGAAAACCAATTCTGTTAATAGGATGACCTATAACGCGTATAAAAAGCATTCTATGTATGGTTAATAATATTTTTCATGATAGGGCAGAACATTTTAGGATAGCTACGTTTTCATATATGTGAGTCGAATGCAGAAGTGGGAAGTCCACTGACTGCTGTTATTTTTGCTGGAAAGTAGGAAGAGAAGAGAGAATGCTAATAGCATGTTGGGTGGATGAGTGCGGATGTAGGTGTAATATGGCGGAACAATATGTCTCAAACGAACTATATGAATATCCGTATAAAGGCCTACACAA